GCAATTCGACTTTTTGTTTGATGGACATCGAAACTTTCACTTTGTAGATCCTTTAGCACCTCAAGCATCGGAAGTTCTATTTGACATAATCGAAAGTTCAAGCTTTCTTTTATAAAATTGAACAGTCTCAAAAAATAATAAGCCATATCCAATTCGAAGATTAAGGAACAACGCAATCTGCAACATTAACTGAAATAGATAATTAGATAATTTTAGCTTAGCTTATACCATCTGCTATACATTAAATGTGCATTCGTAAAAGTATTATGCGCATGCGTGAACACATTATGCGTTGAAGCATGCACAGAAAGTTTGTAGCTTTGAAGTCCGGATTATGGGTGTCCGAATTAACGACTTTTGACTGTATTTCATCTCACTGTACTCCGTCTTTGACATGATTTACATCAAATTCCTCGTCATTATAAATATCACGAATACACATCAAATAGTTTCTGGTTGCAATTTTCTAATTTCAACTATGCGTAATGTATGCTTTACGCATGCGCGCGTTGAAAGAAATGTTTAATAAAGTAAACAAATAAATATTAAGCTTTTTTTTTTTTTTTTTTTTGTAAATTTTGATACGCCTTTAGATCATAATTGCTCTTTATTTCATAAATTAGGGTTTCATATTGTTAATTTTATAATTTCTGCATGCCATCTTAAAAGATTTAAATTGATGATATATAATCCGGAAAAACCGATAATCCGGAATCGCTGAAGTCCCGAGGAGTATATATTTTTTTATATATTCTGAACTTTTATATATTCCGTTGACTTTTGACTGTATATATTCTGAACAGTATTTACAACAGACATCGTTTAACAAATTAGAATTAAAACTAAATGATTCTGATTCTATATAATTAGAATGAATACATGGGGAAAAAAACATTTTAATAAATTTTCTAAATTCTCAGAAAGGTTGCAAGTAGGTACTTTGTTTTGGGAAAAATTATAGTCAACAGCATATGAAATTAAATCAACTGCAATATACTACCACGTTATTCATTTGTCATTTGAATTGTGAACAAAATATTAGTAATAATGCTGTTTTTTACACACCTTCATAGAAATGTCCACTTGAAGTGTCTGTATCTTGAGACACATGCATTACAATCATTTCTTCATTCTCGAAAAAAATTCATTTGCTGTATCCCTATCATAACACATTTTATGAGAATCTTTCTCAGAGGTGATATTCTGATTATCTCGTGCCTACTTAAACTTGTATCTAATTTTTTTTTTGTGTAAAGTTCTCCTAGGTAATGTTACATATTTATTCCACAGAAAGTCTTTTGAGAAAACATTTTCTTAGTAGAAATAATTTATCACTGACCAAATTATAAAAATAAGTGCAACAATATTTTACGTTAACTTAACAGACTAAAAGAAAATTACTTAAATTATTTTAAAGTACAGCGTGTTTCAAAAAGAATATACGTATTTCGAATGCATATATTTATTAAACTGTATCACATATGAATATGAAACTTTACACACATATGTACAAACCTCTCAAGTTCAAATTACATATGTTCAATATGTCCTCCATCAGCGACACGAACAATATCACATCGATACTCAAATTCCTTCCATATTCAGGAAAGCAATGTCCATGGTCACTGATGTTATGACAGTACAGATCCGGTTCTTCACCTCTTCCAGGTTCTGTGGGAGTGGCGGTACATAAATGTTGTCTTTAATGAAACCCCACAGGAAGAAGTCACAGGGTGTCAAATCTAGTGACCGTGGAGGCCAGCTGATACATGCTAAGTCGCTAGCTCCTTGACAACCAATGCAACAGTTCGGTAGAGTTTCATTCAGATAATGACGCACTTGAAGACAGCAGTGAGGGGCTGCCCCGTCTTGTTGAAAAATGAAGTTGTCTTCGTGCAGTCTCAGAAACAACCAGCTTTGTAACATAGTGAGATACTGTTGACCGTTAACCGTGTTTCCATCAAAGAAAGAATGGGCCGTAAACAGACGATCGGGATATCGTACAAAACACATTGATTTGGGGCAAATTTCGTACATATTCAATGGCTGAATATGGGTTCTGTAGGCCCCAAATTCGAACATTGTGTTTGTTTACATGACCACTAACATGAAAAGTTGCAACACGATACGTTGTGCGAAAGTATTATCATTGTCAATAGCTTCAATAATCTGGTTTAAAAATGCCACACGTTTGCATTTGTCATCAGGATGCAGAGCCTGTAACAAATGTAACTTGTACAGCTTCATAACCAACAGACGTCTCAAAACACACCAAATTGTTATTGTAGGCAGTTGTAACTCCCAATTGGCACAACGAGTTAATTTTGAAGGACTACGTTGGAAAGCACTTTGAATTCGTGCAACATTTTCGTCGGGAAGACGAGAGCATCCAGGACTCTTTCCTTTACATACACATCCTGTACTTAACCATCGATACCATCTGTGAAAGTTCCACCCATTCGGAGGATCACTTTGATACCTCAACTTGAAATGTCTTTGCATTGTAATCATGGAATTGCACTTTGCAAGCTCGAGAACACAAAATGATTCTGCTGCCGAGTAGCCATTTTAAACATGTGACGGTTACCATGCAAAACACAAAGACAACTGACATCTAGCAGTTATCAATATAAACTAGACTATGTATTTATTTCGCCAATAGCTGAACCGAGGTACAGTAATTGATAGTTTGGACAAAATAACACTTTGTAATATGTATATTCTTTTTTAAACATATTGTATAAATACTGTATATTATTTACATTAATTGTACAAACAAAAACTTATGCAATAACATAAAAAGGAACATCAAAACAAAATTACTTAAAACTTAAAAGATAAAAACAAAAATATTTACTGCATAAACTAAATAATCACATAAAAATTAATACATTGAAAAATAAACATAAAAATCACACTTTTTATTTAAATTGCAGTATAGATCTAAAGCAATATTATTTAAAAAGACAAAAAAAAAAAAAAAAGTTCGCTTTTTACATTTATCAGATTTTTCTTTTTTTTTTTTTTTTTTTTTTTTTTTTTTATCATAGCAAGTATAGAGAGGATAGGATTATTGAAAGAGATAACACAGACAAACACTGAACATGTCACATTAAATTCTCTCCACAATAAAGACTGCCATGAGGTGATACAGTCAAAAGTCGTTAATTCGGACACCCATAATCCGGACCTCAAAGCTTCAAACTTTCTGCGCATGCGTCACGTTGACGTAGGCCTTTACGGCTGAGAATATGCTTGTCCGCATGCGCAAAATACGTTTACGAGTGCGCGTTTAATGTATAACGGACGGTATAAGCTAAGCTAAAATTATTTAATTATCTATTTCAGTTAACGTTGCAGATTGCGTTGTTCCTTAATCTTCGAATTGGATCCGGCTTACTATTTTTTGCAGACTGTTAGAGCAATTTTATAAAAGTAAGCTTGAGCTTTCGATTATGTCAAATAGAATTTCTGATATATATTTATTAATATGTAAATGATCTACAAAGCGAAAGTATGCTTCGAAGTTCATTAAACAAAAAATGGAATTGCTACAAAAAATGGATAAAGGCATATCCTTTGTTTATCTAAACTTTAACGTTTATTTATCTAAACTTTGTTTATCTTTAACGCCGCGGCACCGCGCAATGAATTCGAAGTTGATCTGTCAGCACTTTCCTTATCTTCAGGGCAGATGTTTTTATTTTATTTGGCTTATAATTCCTTATTCAATGTAGTATTTCATCTCGATGTACTCCATCTTTGATATGATTTAAATCAAATTCCTTGTCATTATAATTCGCTTCCGATGGCGAAGAAAGTGACAGAGGTTATTGAAAACGAAAAAATTTCAATTGACAAATTAGTCGGTATTCTCGACACAGCAATTATAGGACTTGAACAGCGGCACTTTGTAACTCAACAAGAAATTATGTCTGTTTAAAGAATTAAAGAGAATGTATTATCACATAAAAAACGAAGCAACTTAAACAACTTACATTGAAAGAAATGTTTAATAAAGTAAACAAATAAATATTAAGCTTTTTTTTTTGTAAATTTTGATACCCTTTAGATCATAATTGTTCTTTATTTCATAAATTACGGTTTCATATTTTTAATTTTATAATTTCTGCATGCCATCTTACCAGATTTAAACTGATGATCTATAATCCGGAATTGCCGAAGTCCCAACGAGTCCGGATTAACGACTTTTGACTGTATTAGTAAACCAGACACTAATGAAATTATAATTATCATACTTTCTTTTTAATAAATATTTCTACGGAACAACAATAAAACAAATATTTGCACAGTGTTTAGTTAAAACATTTATGCCACCCAGATTGTATGGTGGTTAGGGAAGTTTAAAGTGATACCAAAGGGCCTGGGCTAGAATCCCGAAGAAGGCATGGTTGTAACTGTCCATTCCTTCATAGGAGGCAACGGTGGCTGCCTTAGGTGCCTTCACAATAAAATAACCACTACTTCTGGAGAGACTAATGCTGAACAGGCAAGTGCCCACCATTGGATTAAAAAAAAAAAAAAAAAAATTAAACATTTATTGGTTTAACATACAATTTGAACAACTGAATAACCCTACATGGTTAATCTTTGGATTATGGTAACTTGGCGATTTTTTGGCGAAAATTTGGCGACCAACCCTGCTACAGCAACCTGCTAGTTTTAGGCATATTTTTGTTTTTTTCCCCCCTCCACATTTTTTTCCAACAATCTGCTAGTCGAATTACGCTTATGCTAGAACGTTTATGGAACAAAAGTGCTTAATCATGACAAAGCTTAGGTGCGAAATTGGGAGAAAGGGCAGAATCGCAAACTGCTTGCCGCGTTTTTAAAGAACTGCACATACACGGTATCCATGTACACGTCGACGTATTTTCACTTAAAAAAACATCCCAGAATTGCACAAAAATGGCATTGCACACACTTTTGACTTTATCCATGTACACTGCTAAAGTCCGAGCTAGTAACCTTTATCGCCTCCAAAATGTCGCCAAACTACCTGTTACCATATTCCAAAGATTAGCCCAAAAAATGTGCAAAGATTCAGATTTTTTAATCTTAAAACATTTTCATGATTTTTAAAATCTGGAGATTGAAATGGCCAATACCCCATTATATTTAATAAATAAATTCTACCCATTACATTTACAAAGATTTAGGACTTTTAATTTAATTTTATTTTATTTTTACAAGTTTTAGCAAGCAAACCTGTCAAATGATAATTGATAGCATTTTTTACCAAGACATCTTAATTTATTTTTCCTAGAATCTTGTTGACTTGCAGATAGGATTTTTCTCAGAAGTTAATATTTGCTTTGACCCAGGGAACATCTGATATCATACATTTGAATGCGGAATACAGAATAGCAATATTGTCTTCCTGTAGAGTGGCAAAAATAACAATGCATCCATTTGCAATGTTACTTAAAGCATATGAGACCAATCATTAAGGGAATCCAAAATTTTCCATTCACACAGACAATCCGTTAATGGACGCAAAGGTTGATGATGAACCCAAGAATGGTCATTCTTCAGTCTTTAACAGATGACAAACTGAAAAAGGTCCAAAAAGCATTGTTGAAAAACTCCACCCATCTGATGAACTTAATATCATTAATCACAACAGCTGATGAACTTAATATCATCAATGACACAGTTAAAAAATGCCAAAAGTATTAAGAAAATAAAAAAGTTGTTTCTGTTTTATCTCTCAAAATATAGATCAAATTTCTGAACATCATGATTTGACCTACATGTCAGACATTCATGCTGACTTTTTGACACAAATTATTACAGGAGATAAAACTTGTCTTCGCTTATATGGGATAAAACAGCAGTTATCTGCTTGGGAAAATTCAAAAGGAACTTGTACCCAAAGAATAAACAATTAACTCTACATTTTGTATGACATAATAGACATACTTCTAAAGGTGGTGTGTTGGTGTATTTAATTATGGCAAAGCACACTAGGGCTATCTGCCTAAGGGAAGGGATGCTTTCGTGGAGGACTTTCTAAGGGAAACTGGCTCATATACACGTTACACATGGGGAAAACCACGAAAACACCCATGCATTCATCAGGCCATTTGCGGGATTCGAACCTCGGACCGAACTACCAGTGTTCAGCGACTTTACCGCTCGGCCGCTGGTGAGCCTCATATTTCTAAAGAGAAATCAAACTATTAGACCTGAAAGTGCTCCAATAATTGTTTCTGCATGACAAAGTATCACCTCACAATTATATTTTAATCACATAGTTTTAAGTAAAGAAATGTAGTACAGTTCTCAATCTTCCCCTTATTCACTAGATTTGGTACCTGCAAATTAGTTTCTCTTCTCAAAAATCCTTTCTCATTTTAAAGATTTTTATTAAAATAGCAATGAAGAAATTTTAAAAAAACCATAACCAGAGACTTAAACAGTATTTTAGAAGATAAGTTCTATGAAGAAACTACATGAACATTCCAAACATTGATTATACTTCCAAAAATTGTATATTGAAGGAGAAAAACAATATTCTTACTAAGAAGGAAGAATATTGTTTAATATTTCCTTAAGATTCAGTTTTCTGTGAAAAACTTTGTCAAAAACTTTGCAAATAAACTGTCTAGATCAATGTTTTGAAAATAAACTATCTAATCTAGATCAATGTTAAAAATGAAAGAAAAAAAACCACCATATATGAATGCTACTTTGAATGAAATTTCATCTAGAAACCCTTAAAAGCACATCTAAAACAAAGAAGAATTTAAAACACCAGTGAAAAGGAATTCATGTCATTTAAGAATTTAAAGTGTGTTATAATCTTAGGTGTTACTTGCACTTAATAATAGTGAATGCAAATGAAGATGAAAAATCACTCATAGGAGTGGAATATAATGCATACAAACACATTTTATGATTTACTTAAAATAAAAATAAACATGAAGTTGACTTTTTAAATTTAGAATCAAATTACATAATTATACAGAATACTAAATACAAAAAAAAAAAAAAAAAACTGTTAAGAGCATCCATTAATTAAATCTGACAATTTTATGTTTTTCAGTTTACTATCTATGAAATCTTCTTTTTGCATAGGCAAGATACTAGCATTTAAATTAAAATCCTTCTTATTAAAACAAACATTTTTACCGTTTATTTCAATATTATACCTTTTACAAATATTTAGAACAGCCTCGTGTTTGCTTATGGAAAGCCAGTGACATATGACACCCAAAGGAATTTGACATGTTTTAGAACTATAAGCTACACTCATTGCTTTTAAAGAATGCCATCGAACTGATCCAAAATTATGGAAGAAACACATTACTAAGAGGACTGGTAATTCTTTTACATACTTAAAAAAACGCATATAGTTCCCGCTGTGGAAGGCAAGGCATATTCGTATACACAAATAAACAATCTTGTTTGATAAAATGTTTGAGAATACTGTCAGAGAACGATTAAATGTTTCCGACTCATCAATACTCTGAGCATAAAATACTGCAACAAATTCAAAGAAATACTCGCTATCAAACCTTTTATACAAACATAATAATTTTTCTAAACAAATCTGGAGCTGTTGGCGATTCAAATGCTGACTAAAAGTTTCACTGGCTTCTTCACAGAGAATATAAGCCGACGTGATGTAAAATCTGATACATTTTTCAAATATTTGAACAGTATTTAGATCTTCAATCCTTTGAATTGTAATATCTTGCCTAATGCCTTGAACACGGTCATTTACAAAATCGTAAACAACGTTCCATGGAACATCAGTAATGGGGATGATTTTGTTTATTAAATAATTCATTGTTTTTAGTAGCACATGTGAAGGCCTTAAATCTGATGGCATGTCCTCCCTTTTACCAGCAGCAGATCGAGAGAACTGTTTAACAGCTTTTTCGGGATCGACTTTGGGGTATTTTTCATTTTTATGTTTTACCTCAAAAACATGTAATAATTTATTAGCTTCTCTCCATTTCATTTCTTGAACCGGACACATATGATAACAAGTACCTATACCGGAACTTGCACCAGACATTATTTGCAACTGCACAAATCATACAATTATTCGGAACTGTTATAAAAATATTTAATTAAAGTCAAGGCAATCAGAAGGCTGAGTGAAAATTATTTCTTTTAAATAATTCCATCGGTCTGCATCACGTGTACACCTTCAACGTAATTGTAAACACAAGACAATTGTCAACAAATTTATATTGCTGCCATTATTCATTGCAATATTGCATGCGCTGAAGGTTGCATTTTATTATTCCCAAATTTTATAGATGATCAAAAAATAAAAATGTTAAGCGTTATTTAATATTCAAAAGATAATTAAAACTTTCGTATACAGTATACACTTTTCCTTCTAATGAAAACTGATTTCTAGCATGAGTAAGAAGATAAAAAAGAGCCTATGATCGACTATCAAATAGAAGGATATGGAGCAAATTAAAAAATTTTCAGCAGATTTATGTACAATTAATTTTTTTTTGAATCAGTATATTTTACATCGAATAGCTTGGTTCTTTTTAATTAGTTTTGGTTTCCTTTTCTTCCAGTTATTTTATTTTGAACATGATAATTTAGATCAAAGGATTCGAAACTCTTTTCAGCTAGGTCCAGCTACCATTGTCAATGAATACTGAATATTTCAAGCAATTAAATGACAGAAAATGTTGGCAAAGTAATTCTGCATTGGTTGGTTACTACAACGGCTAAATTCTACAAAAGAAAATTTGGAAAGCATGAACACATAAATGTGTTATTATTAGAAACTGTATAAAATTTAAAACAAGACCTATTTATTGTTGAAGATGACACAGATGCATTAATTTTGCAACTGCATGATGTAGACTAGGATAATTGATGTGCTAAATCCTCAAGAAAATAAAATTTATGCTTTAGTAAATTAAGAATAGTGTTAGCAGATATATATACTCTGAAAAGAATTCCTGCATCAACCACTAAAAGCATTGTTAAGCACTAAAAGCATCAACCACTAAAAGCATTATGAAACCACTAAAAGCATTGTTTTTAATTATTACATATATTTAAAATTTCTATTAATATGCAAGTTTTAAAAGAATTATTTTTTTTAAACGGATATGAGATAAACAGGAAGTTGCTTTAATCGACTATTCTTCCCATGATGCAACTTCACAACTGCCCATCGCCATTTTAGTGGCTGTCTCTTATCGTTGTGAAGTTTGTTGTTACGTGCGATGTTGTGTTATTTTGTAGACTGCAAAGATATATGCCTTCAACATGCCTGCTTAACTTTATTTCATTTTGAATTCTTCAGTAATTACTGCATAAACTAATTTGCATACTTTTTGTTGCATAAGAGTGTTGAAGGTCAAATTTTCTCCAGTTAGGTGTATTACAGCTTCGCGTATAGGATACCAAGTAGGAGGTTTAAATGACTGTACATTATAAGGCATTGTGTTGCTTTATATGATTTCCTATAGGAATTTGTTTTTCATTTACATAGATATATATCGTTTTAGCTCAAGATGATTTTATTCTAATTTTTTGTAAGTTCGGGCCATTCAACCCTCTTACTTGGCTCTTTAATTGTCAAATTGTTCGCAGAATAGTGTTCTTCAAAGTGCTGCTGTTGGATTTTAATAAAAGTTTACTATGGGTTCCAGAACTCCAGCAGACAAAGTAAGTGAATAGATGTGCATAAATCATTCTTTTAATAATCAATATGTAATGCGTTTATAATAAGTCCAAATATGAAATTTGCATTTCTGAAGTTTAAAGTAAGATCTACACGAATTATTTCTGTCGTGTAAATGTCTATTATATGTGGCTTTCTTAATTATTTTTGTGTCTTAGCTATTGCTTAGAAAACTGCATTTTGTCAACGATCACTTGTAATAAGGACTATTTAAACTTGCATATCGCTGCTCATATTGAACGATTATACGTGTGAAAACTTAGAATTATTTTATTTTATGATTTATCTAGCGTGTACTTTTTATTTCATTTATCCTGTTCAATATGTCATTGCATTGTAAGAAAACAAAAGGTGTTTATGATTGGAAGAATATTAGTATAAATTGAAAACTAACTAGTTCTGAATGAAACAGTCTCCGTTAAATATCTAGATATATTTAAATATCAGTATGAAATTTTTAGAACTGTTTCTAATGTCAGGTGCCAACCTTGCAATTCATATGAAATGCAGATATTGTGGGGCTGTTTCAAAAAGGCTTCTAAATATCCAAGTAATATTAGAAATGTGATGTTATAGAATGTTATTCTTTTGTCAAAAAACCGGGTAAGAAATAATTTTTGAAATTAAATACAAGTTTAAAAAAGAAAATGCCTGCATTTGCATTTAAGAAAGTGAATTTATTTTCTCGCTATTTTTGAAAGTTGGCCATTTTTAATGAAAATATTCTAATTTGTACTGCTATTTAAATATACAAACTAGTTAGTTCACTGCCTGAGGTGATGTATTGAAATGTGTAATAGGGGCAGATGTTCCCGATATGTGTATCGTAACTCGGTGAACTAAGTATTTTTTCCTAACTTAAATGATGATCCTTTTTATGTAAGTTTGTGATAAATAAATTCCACTTCTCTATTCATTTCTGTAATTAAAGTTTTAAATAACCCAAAGTGCTTTAGGGTATTTGGGTAAAATCCTATCAAAGTCGCACACCTATGGCGACACACTGGGAAAGTGCAGAATCACAGACTGCTCCATGCATTTCTCAAAATTGCCAACTTGAAAATAACAAGTCGAAGAATTCCACAAACTTGGTACCCATGTACACATCGACCTGTTTTTCCTTAAAAAAAATATCGGAGAATTGCACAAACGTGTCATTGAACACTCCTTTGACTTTGTCCATGTACACATCGGTATGCATCACCTACCAAAATCATTCCCTCCAAGGGTGTGGGCTGTGTTAGAATCTAACCGTTATTTGGTCTAAATAAATATTTATTGCTCTGTTGATTCATAGGATGAACCATGAAAATCTGTTTGATTATAATGAGCTAACAGTAAATTTGTGTTTGAAATGTTCTAAAAGATTCAGTGGAAATCTTGTTTGTGTGTGGCAGTGGTCTCAAACTGATGGTCTACTGGCTGCACGTGGCCTCTGAAGCAGTTTTACATGGCTCACAAATATATTACCCATAAATTATCATTATTATGACAAGAATTAGAAGAAAATTACAGTGTGAAGTCTTAATTTTATAAATATTTTAAACATAAAAAATGAATGTTCCCCCCCTTCCCAATGGTAGGCCTAAATCATATGTATAATTGTATGGATATAAATGTGTTTTTTCTGTATGCATCAAAGAAAAGTTCAATAGATTAAAAAAAAAGTATTTTTCATTATTTATTGTCAGGTTTTCTTGCACATGGGAGTTATTCATAATTTGTTTGCTTTTACTTTAAATAATTTAGTGGTTAATTCGATATATTAGAATTATGTGAAATAAATGTTTGAATATGCAAATTTCTTTGTCGGTGTGTTTGAATTACATAGTGAAACTAACAAGAAATTTGCAGATGCCATCTTTAAATTTCAAACAGAAAATAAGTATAAATTTTAAGAATTTGTATTACTTTTCTGTTACCTGGTTACCAGAATATTTGATCCTAGTGGACTTTTATTTTTATTACATTTATTTCTCACTAATAAGTTCAAACATATAGGAAAAGATAACAATGAAATAATAAAGATCAATTTACACAGCAGGCATGAAATTGTGAATTTAGTGGTAAAAATATATTTACAGGTGCCCTTGGCAGTTTTTGGCAGTATATGGACACCGAGTTTGTGCAAAAATTCACTGCTACGCAAATCCAAAATAACAAGTCGAAGAATTGCACAAACTCTCCATGAATACATTGACGTATTTTCACTTAAAAAAAATATCAAAGAATTGCACAAACTAGGCGTTGCACACTCTCTTGACTTTGTCCATGTACACATTGATCTATATTTGCTTAAAAAGTCAAAGGAGCAGCCAACAAAAAATATATAATCTCAATAAATTACATTTTAAATCAAACAATGAAATAACATAATAAAGGAAATTCATCTTAGCACTACGCAAAGGAAATATCCACTTTTACAAATTTCCCCCGTCTTCAGTCAAACAAAATTCTGTAACAGCATCCAAAGATGTCCTAAAATTATCTCTATATACTGGTGTCACCACATAAATTCACAAAAAGAAATTTTAAAGAAATCTCGCCATTTTTGAACGAACAACCAACTTTATTAGTCAAAACGGTACAACTCTAATATACGCCCTAATTTCACCAAATGTGGCGATATGTGTTCTGCGCTGGTTTTTGGCGTGATTGCGTGTTCTATGGCAACCCTGTTGAGGTTGAAAAGTCTTTTGCTGGAGCTCGTTGGTTCGCCTCTGTGTCTGAGAAGATGGGAGGGAAAGATAAAATGGTAGTTGTTGAATTGAAGTTCGGCAAAAGGAAATATGATTGTGGCTATCCTGTTGAGGGGTAGTGGGTATTTGGAACTGTGGAAAGAGGGTCCTGGGAGATTATTTTTAATGGCAGTGCATGATAGAAGTAGGGATTTGTGATTTTATTTATTTATGAACCATAGTATAAATTTTCTGGATAGTGTGTCTAGCTCTCATGTAAATACGATAGTGATTACATGGCGGCATGTTAAAGGCGGTATGAAATTTATATTTCTGCTATTCGAAAACGCATTAATTCATGGTAAGTGCATTTTATTTTATCCTTGTTCATATTTTGTAGAATGTTATGTTCATTGCTTCTTTAGTAAGAGTTTCTGTCGTTACTGTTGTTTTTTTAAATTGTTTGAAATTTATTTTACTTTATTTTGTTGATTTGTGCGCAAGTGTCTAGACTATACAATTCGTAGATGTTTTTTTTAAGTTTGAAACAGAATGCTGTGTACATGGTATTATTTGAAATTTATTGTTATGTTATTTTATTAAAGCGAGGAGTGCGTAGATCGTAGATTCCTTCCTCGCCTAAATTGTGCAATTCGTAGAATTTTTTGGCTGATCTTTAGAATATGGTAACTGGTAGTTTGGCGACATTTTGGAGGCGATACAGGTTACTACCTAGGACTTTGGTAATAATGTGAGAAGCACGCAGTTCCAATTACGCATTATTTTGTGTGAGGGAAATGAAAGATCATGAGAT